GCAGAGCCATATGATAATATACATCCTTCATATATGAATGGAGGATATTTCCGTCTGACGATTATTCAATATGAATAAGTTCCAACAATGTTAAGTTTTTTATATAGAGAAAATATGATAAGGAACTGAAATAAAACGATGTGATAAAATTTCTTGATAATAATTTTCGAAATAATATACGATAATTTATTTCTTAAGGCAGGTTTCCAATATATCCACCAAATTCACAAGTAAACAGGAATAAAAGCGATCCCTATTTCTCTCTCTCCATGTATACTTCAGTCATTATTGCACTTCGCCTGATTTCCGTAGTTTCCCACCTCCTCACATTCGAACTAGCCTAACTATGCCTTAGTTGTTTGAAGGTGGGCCTCCTTTCAGGGCAAGAGGGGCATGATCTCACCGAGCCAGGACTGGCGAGGCGTCATCGCTTTTGTTGCTGGCTGTACATTGAACTATTGTACTCGTTTCATGACACTCACGCAGAGAGAGAGGGGGGAGAGAGAGGGAGAGACATAGAGAGGCAAGCAGACAGACGGAGAGAGAGAGAGAGAGAAAGAGAAGAGCTAGAATGAGAGTTACACATGTCTGTCTGAACTTCCTCGACACTCGATCCTCGTGACGTCATGACCATACACATCTGCCTGGACGAGGAGCTTTTATCATGTCACTTATTTCTCCAATTTAGATTCTTTTCTGATTTTCCACAGACACACATTTATATGTGTGTGTTTGTTTGTTTATTTGTATATATCTACGTATATATATGGATATAATAGAGAGACAGATACATAGAAATATGAATAGAATGACATGTATCTTTTGAATTTTCATTTTCTTAATAGATAACATGTTCAGAATGGAGTTTAGTGATACAAAACATTCGACCATCAGGCCAGACCGCTCATAGTCATCCCAGGCGCTCCAAGCCTCTCTGGGCGTCCCTGCCACTCCCAGGCCTAACACGTAACCACAATGCTACCAAACCCGGCAGTCAGTACCGTTTTTAGACGATATGTGAGACGCACCGCCACCTCCAACACCCCTCGAAATAAGGCTCAGATGTCACCCCGGGTCTTAAGAGGGTGTGGCGATTACTTTTCTTTCTTTCTCTCTCATTCGAATGTGCTCTCTTGCAATAGCGTGAGCCTAAGATGAACGATAATAGTACTCCTTAACTGCGATGGTGTGGCCATTTTTTTTTTCTTTCTTTCTTTCTTTCTTTCCCGAATATGCCCTCTTGACTTGGGGTGCGTCGAATATACCGGGCATATGCTTAATAATATCAATTACATCTTCGACATAGCTCACAAGTTTGCTTACGAAAATGGGGTAATAACCTTGAAATATATACTTGCCAATAGATTGACGCAATTCAGAACAGTGAAATAATCGCCTTAACCCTGCCGATAAGATAAGGACTATCCCGTTCAAGTGCTTTCGGGAAGCTAAAAAATGGTAAACATGCCGATAAAAAAAATTGTCTTAACATTTTTCCCTTGTCAGATATTTCCTTTTTAGTGAACTCGGATGCTTTCCTTTATTGCATGCACGGTGATTCAGTTCTATCTGTGAAGTTAATGGTATGGGTCATGGTGATACAATTCCATCTGTGAAGTTAATGGTATGGGTCATGGTGATACAATTCCATCTGTGAAGTTAATGGTATGGGTCATGGTGATACAATTCCATCTGTGAAGTTAATGGTATGGGTCATGGTGATACAATTCCATCTGTGAAGTTAATGGTATGGGTCATGGTGATACAATTCCATCTGTGAAGTTAATGGTATGGGTCATGGTGATACAATTCCATCTGTGAAGTTAATGGTATGGGTCATGCGGGCAGGGCTGCCAACTGCTCCCCTTCGCTCATGATGAAAGGTTTCGTTCACTTGCGTTTAAGACCATCGTTCATTGCGACGGGGATTCCTTGGCTCCTCGTCCTGGGTGAGGGAAAGATAAACCAGTGAATTTCATTTGATATATCGTTTTATTCGTAGACCTTTTGCAATTAAACTTCGCTAATTAGTTAGAAGTAGCGAATTGATGCGAAAGTATCAGAGTCCACATACGCAAACACACACACACATACAAGCAAACACACACACGCACACACGCTGTAACGTGGCCGAATTGCGGCGGAGAGTAGTCAGGCTACATCAAGCAGGAACTTGTGAACTTGGAGTTTCGACAGGTTTATTGGTTGAAGAGAGATACTTGTACAGGCTTCTCTCTCTCTATATATATATATATACATATCTATTTATCTCTCTGCCCACCTTCTCTCTCTCTCTCTCTCTCCTCCTCCTCTCTCTCTCTCTCTCTCTCTCTCTCTCTCTCTCTCTCTCTCTCTCTCTCTCTCTCTCTCTCTCTCTCTCTCTCTCTCTCTCTCTCTCTCTCTCTCTCTCTCTCTCTCTCTCTCTCTCTCTCTCTCTCTCTCTCTCTCTCTCTCTCTCTCGGTCCAGTCAGGATAATGTAGGCTGTCTGCTTGTCGCTCGCAATCGACCCTGTTTTATACAGATCTAACCGGGGTATTGGTAATGTGGGAAAGTCTTATAAGGAGCGGAAGAGAGAGAAAGAGGATGCGTTCGTGTAAACAGAGTGACGTCACGAGGCGGAGGGCCTACGAGTAAAAGTTTGTGTTGGCGATAGTAGAGAAACGGGGCAAAAGTTAAGGTATTTGCATACCCGAGGTCTAAGGATAGGCCTATGGTCTTAGGTGTGGAGGGTAAGAATGCACTAGAATAGCACAGGATGAGAGTGTCTTAACATAAGGATAACACACACACACACACGTGTGCATATATATAAATGTGTGTGTGTGTGTTATCCTTATGTTAAGACTCTCTCATCCTGTGCTATCCTAGTGCATTCTTACCCTCCACACCTAAGACCATAGGCCTATCCTTAGAGCTATGGTATATGTCATTTTATTCATATTTCTATGTATCTGTCTCTCTATTATATCCTTATATATACGCAGATATATACAAATAAACAAACAAACACATATATGTGTGTGTGTGTGGAAAATCAGCATTTCTGACAATCTTTCACTAAGTTCTATCTAGAAAGAATCTAAATTGGAGAAATAAGTGACATGATAAAAGCTCCTCGTCCAGGCAGATGTGTATGGTAATGACGTCACGAGGATCGAGTGTCGAGGAAGTTCAGACAGACATGTGTCACTCTCATTCTAGCTCTTCTCTTTCTCTCTCTCTCTCCGTCTCTGTCTGCTTGCCTCTCTGTCTCTCTCTCCCTCTCTTTGTCTCTCTATCTATCTCTCGCTCTCTGTGTGAGTGTCATGAAACGAGTACAATAGTCCAATGTAGTTTTATATTCTACAAAGCCATAGATGCTGTTGCCACTGCTTACTAAATATTCAAGTCGTGCTCAAAGATACATTTCACCGCTGTAGCACTTGCAGAAGCATTACCAACTGCACCATTTATAGATGCATATATCCCCTGCATCAATTATAGATACACATAACCACTATGAAGTTTAGAGATGCATATAAGAATGACCACAGTTTGTTCAATGTTGACGACGTACATATATCTAGACGCATGTGCAGTCCACACACGTAGGGAACACGACCAGCCCTGCAGTGTTTGTAGCGTAGAAAGTGCAATATCATCGTGACCAACAAAGTTTACCCTTGCATGGTCTGTGTAAAGTGTGTGGAATGTATGCGATGATGATTTTACTTGTGAATGTGAGGCTGTTAGTTGGAAGTTATGAATACGGTGATAAGGAAGAAAGACGAAATAAAGGGAAAAGAAGGGAATTAATGAATTAATAAAATATATCAAGAAATGTTTGAATATCACTTGTTTCTTATCTCTAGGTTTGTTACTTTCTCTCTGCTATCATTATTATTCAGCAAAATTATTACACTGAAGGAGATAAAATCTGATTTTATTGATACATTTCTGATATAAATATAACCCACGAAAAGCAATATTATGAAAAGTAAGACACACAACATGACTTTGTATTCAGTATAACACAGCTCTCTTTTGTTCGCAACTTGGGTCAGTGTTTTCAGAGATCTTTTACAGTTTACCTTATACGATCTGTATAGCTTTGGGGAAAGAAAAATACAGCTTATATCGGTTTTATTATATGTATGATACCCTGCATTTTTGTGCACGATAAACAGGATAAAAGACCTTACCACTAAATGCGTATATTTTTGTGTCATGCGATTTATACCAGTATGGTTTATAACATTTCCTTACTCTCTCAATTTACTCTCTTCTCCTTCTGTCTACTCTCTTCCTCTCTTTTTTCCCCTTGCTCTACTCTCTCTCTCTTTCACTCTACTCTTTCTTTCTCTTTACTCTCTACTCTCTCTCCCTCCCCCTACCAAGCCACTAATCCTCCGTCTATCCCGCTACCCTCCCTCCTTACCCACCCCTCATACCTTCTCTCCCTCCCACTCCTTTTACTCTCTCCCTCCCTCATACCCTCCCTCCCGCCCTCCCTCCCTCACTCGCGGATGGTGAAGCAGACCTTCTCCTGCCTCGGGGTGTTAATAAAGGGATTGCCAGGGGCCGGTGAGACGTCGACCTTTGACCCCGGCGGCGGACTCACACTCAGGGACTGGAAGATGGCGGTGGAGATGATGAAGAGTTCCATGCGCGCCAGGGACTCTCCGACGCACACCCTTTTCCCTGGGAATGGCGGGAGGGGGTGGGGTCAGTGGAACGGCAGGTAGGGAGGTTATGCGAATGGAGGAAGGGGTGGGGTGACGGTCAGTGGAACGGCAGGTAGGGAGGTTATACGAATGTAAGAAGGGGTGGGGTGACGGTCAGTGGAATGGCAGGTACGGAGGTTATACGAATGGGGTAAAGAATATATACGAAAGATAGGAAAGTATGGCAAAAGTCTGTGAGCCCCAACGGTTGGTGGATAGTGTGATATCTGTAAAATAGATGGCGCTGTGTACGCGATGTTTCGTCTGTTTGTTTGTTTTTGCATGATTTATACTTCCTGTTGGTTTAATTTGTCGGCTTCCTTTCATTAATACTTTCATTGATGATAAAACCAAATAAAGAAATGTTTTGCTTATCCTTGATTTAGTGACACAGCAAAAATAGATTAAAAACATGAAGAATTTATTAATACCGAATGATTGTAGAGTTGCCTGGATTTAAGTTCGTATTCATTGTATTAACACAAAAAATATTTTCTGCAAAAAATACATAGTGTTTAAACAATTAAATAATCTTATGTCATGAAAGTACGCATACACATGTGATAATTATAAGAAAATATTTTATTGCCATATTCTGAAGAAGAAAAAAAACTGCAAAACCTTACTTTACTGTATGTAAAGAAATTTCTAATAAGAAAAAAATAAAGAACTGAATAATCAAGTAATTCCATGTAAATTCATGTATACAAAGTAATTCTTTAATAAATTTCGTCTCTTATTAAACAAAAAAATACATTGCAAATCTTCAATTTAAACTAAACCTTTAAAACTAAAACAAATATTTAAAAATCTTTATTAATTCATAGTCTCCCCCTATAAATGTTTTCCTTTCTTAGTTAACTATCTGAAAAATAGATGGCGCTGTAGGAAGTTTTGAGCCTCACATTTTTTTAACGGTGTGTTACGTGCTTTCCTATCTTCCGTATATAGTCTTTGCGAATGGGGGAAGGGGTGGTGTGATGGTGAGTGGAATAGCAATAATATTGCACAGAATGACATATGTGACTTCACTAGCACTTTGAAAACCACCATTGTTAAAATAACCATGTCAATAAACTCATCAGAAAGCATATAGAAATAATGATAATAATAATAATAATAACTGAGGATAACAGTGATATTGAAAATAATAATAATAATAACAATTCCGGTATCGTACCAACTCCGAAGGGCAGGAACCCCTCTTTCTTGGTCGTAAACTTCCCTTGGTCGTCCAGCCAGCGCTCCGGCATGAACTTTTCCGGGTCGTTCCAGTAGCGGGGGTCGTGGTGCATGGCGCCTGCGGCTGTCGACACGATCGTCCCCTGTGTGGGTGGGAATTGTTGGCACTTAGTGAAATGTGGTGCCTGCGTGGGCGTGGGAGTGAGGTGCATAAAAATACGTGTTTGTATCTAGCTGGTGTACGTCTATACATAGTTCACATCCCCCCACACACATATATAAACACATACACACATTTATATGCACACTGTACATGTAAACAAATGTGGAGGATGTATATACGCATAGAACGGTATAAACCAACATACCTTTGGGAGTAAGTATCCACCCAGCATAGTGTCCCTCACTGCAACATGTTGAACGCCAGTCGATGCCAAAGAAGATGCCCGAAGAACCTCATGAATAACGGCCTCAGTGAACGGCATTCTGCAGACAGTAAGAGGCTCAGGTTATAATCCCCTTTAACACCCACTCAACGAGTCACTTGAAACCCCAATATATTTAGGGAGTTTCCAAGTACCTGCTTCGGTCCTCGAGTGTAGCCAGCGTTCCTTTCGGCAGAACCTCGTCGATCTCCGCCTGGAACTTCCTCTGAACTTCCGGGTGGTTGGCTAGGTAGAAGAACATGAAGGCGAGGGTCCCGACCGTGGTTTCACTGCCGGCGAAGAACAGGTCCAGGATGAGGATGCACAGATCCCTTTCTGAAATGAGGGGACAATTCAAGTTCCAAGCAGGACATGCTGACGTATACTATTTCATGTATACATACCAGGCACAGTCAAAAGACCTCTACCATACATTTATATATATATATATATATATATATATATATATATATATATATATATATATATATATATGAATATGGATATGGATGACATGTTCCACATGTTTTTTTATCTGCCTACGGGTGTGCGATCCTTCACATGCCCAAAATTAAAATGCCTTACCTGTTCGAATCGTGTCTGGGTCGTCTTTCGATGCCTCGATATCAAGAAGGTAGCCATCAATTAGGTCCTTGGGATCATCAGGATCCAGGGAAGCTTTGTGTTCCTCGATCAGTTCCTGTGAATGAAATGTTTTGAGGTATTAATAATCTATTTGTTTCTTCCTCCGGATTCATCCGTAATAAAGGAACGATAGGGAATATAAAAAAAGTATAGTAATATCTGACAGGCACACACCTTACAGTAATCGAAGAATTTATCCTTCAGAGTGTAAAGTATTTCGACGGAGAAGAGGCGGCGTATGAGGAAATCGGGAAGACAATACTTAATCCAAGGGATAAAATCGGGCACTGTTAATGGTCCGAACTTTTTCATCAGATCGTCAATAATGTCGATGAATTCTTGCAGCTTGGGATCCGTTTTTTCAAACTGTTTGCCTGCCAATAAGATCCACTTAGATATTCGTATGCAAATTACATCCATGCATTAATATTTGGTGATGGCAAGTCCCCATTCATATTCTGTCAAAATTTAGTCTCTCGTATCACTTGATTCTTTTTATCAAATGAACTTAATTTGATCATCTGAACTGAGAGACAGAGAGTGTGTAGATAGATAGAGAGAGAGAGAGGGAGATAGAGAATGCAGAAACAAGAGAGAAATACAAAAAATAGAGACTAAACAGAGGAATACATAAATAACACAGCATGGGAATGCAATGACTGAGAGATAGAAAACACATAAAAAAGAACAAATACAATTAATAGAAAGAGAGAGAGAGAGAGAAAAGAATAATGAAGGTTACCAACAACAGAAGAAACAGAGACGGTTAATGGAGAGACTTTAGGTTAGTCAATTCTTAACCGAAATTCGATTCTGTTCCTTAGCGGCGAAACTTTAAACTAACAGTAACTTGAAATAAAAATGTAATTTGATACAAAAGAAAACATTTTGGAAAACAAGTGAGAAATTTTGCTCGATCCTGGTCATTATCGGTGAATGCAAAAGCATGTATATATACACATACGAACGCACAGGCCCTGTACATATACACATGCGTGTACATACTATTTATACAAATGCAGACATGTATTTTATATGGATAAAGTACATATATATACGAGTGTCTCTCTCTCTTTCGCTGTGTGTGTGTGTGTGTCTGTGCGTGTGTGTGAGTGTGAGTGTGAGTGTGTGTGTGTGCGTGTGCGTGTGTGTGTGTAAGTGTTTGTGTGTATGTGTGTGCATGTGTATGTTTATATGTGTGTGTGTGCATGTGTATGTGTATGTGTGTGTGTGTGTGTGTGTGAACGCACAGCAGACCCCTCCCTCTCTCCCTGCCACTCACTCGCAACCATATGCCAGATAATGTTGATAACAGCCACCCGCAGATCCCGGGGGATGCGCTCCGGCTTGCTCGCTTGGCCTTTCAGCGCCTCGACCAACTCGCGGGCTTGCTTTTGGATCGCGGAGACCAAGCTGGACTTGCCCATTCCCTGATCCCGGAGTTGGCGGAGGCTGAAGCGGCGGTTGGTGTGCCAGATGTTGCCGTTGCTTCCAATTACACCTGTTAATAACACGAGAGATAGATTTTGATTATATCTGTCTATCTATATATATATATATTGTCTGGGATCGATGCATCATGGCATCAAGAATTTGTTTATAATTCATTTGTTTACTTATCATGGAAGATACAAAAAGATCGCTAACACCAGCTTGAAAATCCAGATATACTATACATTCTCTTTAATATATACATAAATACAATACACACCATGCACACATGCATACTATACATACAATACACCCGCTCACCCATCCATCCATCAAGTCTACCTACACGTTGATCCACCTATCCACCCACCTACCCACCGATCCGAACACAGGATTCCTCACCAAGAGTAACAGGTTCCATAAATTTGAACAGTTCCCACGTCGGGCGGTCGAGAAAAGCACTACTGCCGAGGGCTTCTTTGCTGAGCTGGTAACTGTGCAGGAAGACCATCACCTGGGTGCCCATTCGCCATCTATGGGGTCAAGTAAGGTCAAAATGACTGTCTGTGTATTTTTGTTGTATTCTTATGTATATGTACGTGTTTGTATATATCTATACCTATATCTATACCTTTATCCAATATATGTGTTTGTATCTATATTTACAGCCGTATCTTTATCTATATTGTTAGATATACGTGTATCCTTTTTCATCTATATCTCTAGGTGTATTCAGTATCTATATGTTTACATATCTCCATATATAACTAATATATCCCTCTCTCTCTCTCTCTCTCTCTCGCATAACACAACACACATACCATACAATACACACACACATACATACATACATATATATATATATATATATATATATATATATATATATGTGTGTAGGTATATAATTCCACGTACTTAAAACCGTATAAAACTTATAAAAGAAAGCTCATGCATCAACAAATAAAGAACATACTTATCAATGTCCTTCCGTATAGGCCTACTCAAAACCAAATACAGCTATAGCAGCACACTCATTCAATGCTAAACGAAACTCACAATAACACTTTTCACATTACAAAAGAACTTAACACTTACAAGTAAATGTCCCCGTGTTGTTTTTGGAGGTCCTTGAATTGCTCGTCCATGTGTTTTCCGCTGAGGGGTATGTAGCCGACCAGCGGAAGACCCCATCGGCCTGTTAAGTGTTGGTGTATGATGAACGCACTTCGAAGGAGAATGGTGGAAATGAATTGTTTCAGAAGGTGAAAGAGAGGATTGAGGAGGAAGAGTGAGGGAGAGGGAGAGAGAGGGGAGAAGAATAGGGGAGAGAGGGAGGGAGAAGAATAGGGAGGGAGAGAGGAAAAGGGGAGAGGAGGGAGTGGGAGGGAGAGAGGAAAAGGGAGTGGGAGAGGAAGAGAGGAAGGAGGAAAAGTGGGAGAGGAAGAGAGGAAAAAAGGAGTGGGAGAGGAAGAGGGAGGAGAGAGAGAGGAGAGAGAGAGAGAGAGAGAGAGAGAGAGAGAGAGAGAGAGAGAGAGAGAGAGAGAGATGAAGAAAAGTGGAGGGATACATAGATAAATTGACAGATATAAAGAGAGATACAGAGAGGGAGAGAG